TAGGCTTTTTTTTTTCTCCAATTTTTAAGGGCATTAAAAGATTTATAATTTTGCATAAAGTTTTGACACTTGTCAACAGAAAGGTTGAAATAGTAATAGTGCTTTATCAGTTCTGCCCCATTAAGTATATATAAGCGTATAAACAAACAGACACTAAATCATGTTGGCATGTGTTTGGAAGTGTTTACATAAGAAGGCTTAACTGAACTGTTACTATTTTCTGCTGTGTTTTTGTCAGAAGGTATATAAATGTTTATACTCAATATGAACATTTATGTTGAAAAGCACACTGTATATTGATTATGTTGTATTTTACCAATCAGCATGTACTTATCGTACCTAAGGGCAAAACAGGTTTGATGTGGAATTTTCTATTGGCAGAGCAACATTTGTAATACTGACTGTAATGACTCATAGTTCTTTGAAACCACTGAGTGTGTGTGCAAACATCAACATATCCTTACATGTTATACAGTATTTTTTAAAAATACTGAAAGGCCTGGAAACAGGGTTTTAAAAAGAACATTTTAAACTGAAGACAGGAAAGACTTTTCTGATATCCCTTCTATTACATAATGACATATACTCGTAGTCCCTGTAATGCTGAACCCATAATCTGGCTTTACATTAGTCAACCACAATAAACCTTTAGAGCAGGCTAGTCTACAATCTTGTCCACAGGCCGGTCATCATCCCTGATTTAAAGGTGTTTTATTAATGGTCTACCAGGAGATTTAAACAGAACTTATAATTCATGGATGGTTAAGTTTGACTTCCACAAGTTTGACTAAGGTGTGCAGCCGCTACAGTATTACTACTTTACAAACTCAGCACCCTGTTGATGGAGGTGTGCATCTCCACAGATAGCTGACAATCCATGTTTTAGTTGTTGCATGAATTTGTTTATAAAATATACAGTATTTTTAAAATAATTTAATAGTAAATATGAACATTTTTGAGAAATTTGAACATCTATCTTTATTTAAAATAAAAATGTGGTGGCAGGAAAATCAACTAATGCAGTGGTTCTCAAACTTTTTATACTCTTTACCACCAGAAAACACATTGAACTCTCTGAGTGACACTGTGATGACCAACATTAGAATATAGCAGCATAGGCCATCCCTATTAGCTTCCACCACACAGGAGAGTTGTTTATAAATGTTTAGAAAGATGGTTATGTTTAAATGTTGTATTATTGTTATGTGTTTCAGATTTATTCCATTAAAAATGTTAATGCGAAAATATGAATTTTCCCCACGTACCACTTTGAAGACCACTCAACTAATGGAACAAGGCACTATATTTTTCTTGCATTTCCCTGAAGCCAATCCATTGTTTCATGCTCAAACTGTGCTGCATACACTTACCATTATCTCTTAGTTAAAGGCCGTCTAACAAGAGCTGACTGCGTCATAAAACTGTGTCCACTGTGCTTTATATAATTGATTACATCAATTAAATCACAAGTGCAGCCCTTTTTCTGCTAACAGTATTTTGTGCATAGTGATCACTATTAGGGTTAAAGTCAATGTCAAAGTTTATTTCTGCAGCGTGTTTCTATAAATTTCCCTTCACATGCCAGAGCACTGAGAAAGGTCGAGGAGCTGAGCAATGCATCTTTCGTTCAATGTCAGTGTTTCTTCAGCTGGTCTTGCTGTTGCACTGGTGACCAGGGAGTGGTGAAAACTGGAGTTTGTACAGGAGTTTGGCCCCTCCCATTTCTCACTCTCTCTGTCTCTCCTGTTTTGATGGGGTACACCACTCCTGTTCCTGTGGGCCAATCACTCTTTAGATATTTCCCATTCTCTCTCTCTCTCTCTCTCTCCCTCTTTTACTCTCTCCTTCTGCCTCTCTCTCACTGTTTCTGCTGTCCTCCTTCACACTGGGTTCAGATCTCCTGTCCAAAGCAGCAGACAGAGGTATGAAACTAACTGACTTCCTTCTTCTCATGCTGTTTCTTTCTTGTTAATAATACACCTATTACAAAGGTTAATTCAGGAGTGTAATGTTGTATAATTTTGTGCTGTATTTGAATGATCCAGTCTGATCTGCAAGGGTGTATTAATGCTCCATAATCTCCTGGAGACCAGTCTATACAAGACTCCCTGCAAGAGTCAACAAGAATGTGTGTTTTCTCTGTTGATTCTTAAATGAAAATGTTTGCATTGTCTTTCAAGTGATAGACTGGCTTCTTGTTTACTGTGCAGTTAGAGGTGGATGTTATTTATCAGAAGTTAGGAATGTAGTTAAGGTGTTTAAATTATATTGTTCTTTGTGAAATGTGAAATCAACAAATGTCATAGGCGTGCTGTGTCGAGTGGGTTACAAACATACAAATCCGTCAAAGAGAAGAGCGTAAAATCATTGAAATGTTTGAATTATCTATCTATCTGAAATTTACAGTAAATACCTTGACTGTTGTCCACCTCGTCAGCACAAAATAGAACACGGAATGGAGATTAAACAGTCATCAAAATAAAATACAATGACAAATACAGACAATGTTGAGAATAATGTTACCTATTTGAAGATGTTATCTTTTCATTATTGTCTTCATGCAGTTATACATTCATACATACAGTATGTTCAATGATGTGAATGTATTTAAAGATCTGGAATACATTTTAATCATAAACAATCTTATTATCTTAAACAGCTGTCATCACACATTTCAGACATCTAATGTGCATCTGTTTGTATTTATCACTTGTCAGAGTGTAATAATCTAAAAACTTTTTAAATTAATCATATATTTTTAAAATATTAAAAATGATTATTTTTCAATTCAGAAAAAATTGGCTTTAGTTTAAATTGTTCTTCTTCTTCTTCTTCTTGTACGTGGACCTGATTTTTTTATATCACTAAACCAAAGAGACATTGAAGCACAGAGGAAAGCTGACCCACTCCTGATGTAGTTGTAGTAATGTGCACACTGTACACAATGTGATTACAGTCTTTTAGAGCGGTAATTTGAGGCTTTAGTACAGGTGTTCATGGATAGGTGCTGAAATTTACAAATAACTAAAGTGTCGTCAATCATAAAGACATCGCTGACATAAAGCAGCAGACTAACCAACAGCTGCACTAATAAATCAGATCTGTGAGCTCATTCTACTGTGTGACTTTCTATGTTGTCTGTACATCAGAACAAAAAATGCAGTTCTTGCTAAAGTATAGTTTCATGTCGGTGGGAAATAATGATAATTTGACTGGCAGATGAAACAAAAAAGAAACCTGTTAGTGTCAATTCAAATACTGTATTTAGGAGCAGTAAAAGGGACTGACACAGGTATTTTTACAGGGCAAAATGTGTAAAAAAAAAAAACCCAAACAAACAATAAAATATGAAATATAAGGGGGAAAAGGCCACAGAAAGATGGAAAATTAGATTGCACAAAACTTATGAAAAGTTGATGCTCTAAAACAGTGGATTCAAACTGTGGTACACGTGCCACCAGTGGTACGTGAGCGCTCTCTATTGGTACGTGGGGAATTTTCACATTTATATTTTCAATTGATTAAATCTGAAACATACCGTGCACAATTGACACAACATTTAGAAAAAATGTGTTGATGACACATGAGAGAAGCGAAAAATCTATTAGAAAACAATGCATTGAGCTCAAGGATTTGCTTGAAAGAACAGCGTTTCCTGTCAGTGTTCAGGTTTGTGTGTATTCTGTGACATATTTAACATCTCTGACTCCACAGAACAAAAGTCAGCAACAGAAATCCCTCCTAGAAATAGTTTGTTACCTGAAACATATGTTTGTATGGTCTTCCTCAAAGTCACTTCAGGTGTAATCTCCAGTGTCAAATGGAGCTTTTTCAGAGACACTTCCTTTTGTAAACAATGCTCAAAATGTGTCTAGTGTGCAGTTAATATTTGTCCTTGGCATGTAGCTTTGAGGTGGTTTGTCTTAAATGTTGTGTGTTTTGCTGCTCCATCACGTGGAGAAGCAAGAATAGAGGTCCTTGAAATAATAAGTGTTTACAGCTGTTTGTTTTTCTGACTGACAGCAAAGTCGACTCCTCATTCATTTGTGTTGTATTCAGTTTGCCAAACAAAGTGTATGTTTTGCTAAAATGTCATATAAACTAGGTTTATAAAATTTGTTATCAGGCCTGATTAATCTGGTGGTATACATATTGTATTAAGGTGAGAGTAATGTCACTGAGATCATCATCTCTTTTGATAAAAGACCTGACTATGGTATTGTTAGAAATACAACTAACTACAAATACTAAGGTGGTGCAGTAGTACACATGTACGAACTAAAAATGTATTTACCTTTATTCAAGGTGGTCAGTTGTGAAGGTTTTAGACCTGACCAGCAGGGGCAGGCTTTGAAAATTGAAATTTACTGTATTGTTTGGAATTGACAATACAGTAGAGATGGGAAATGAAAAAAATCTGGAATTTCAGGCTTGTAACTGGAGGCAGACCAGATGGTTTTTTTTTTTGTTGTTAATTAAAATGTTGTTCCAAAAAAACTAACAATAAAATAGTGACTCAAATATTATGAAGTAAGCCTTCTCTGCACTTAACATGTTCAGTTTCATGTCATTGTTTTCCATATTTTCCATACATTTATTCACTATTTTGACGTAACTTTCTACGTCTTTCCCTTTTTAACTGCCGACACACTTAAGTCTGACTGTGTTCCACAATTGATTTTCTTCCTTCATTGTTCTTGTTTAACCTGGTGATATTGCAAAGTCTATCAATTCTATTTATGTTGCCAGCATGTCTTCCTTCTTAAAGAAAATAAAGTGTCCTATTATTGCACATCATCACTTTTCTTTCATCACCACGTCATCACTTTGAGAGCTGAGGTGCTTTTAGTCTTAACCACAATTGTCTTCTTTTTTTTTTACAACCCCATATGTTGCCAGCAGGATATGGCATCCGGGAGAAAGATGGGCTACAAGTTTCGCATAGCGGGCGTGTTTCTTCTGCTGTTGGCCAGTATCGCTGCTCTTGTGGCTGTTGCCATCATCCAGGACACATGGGCTTTCAACGAGTACACCATAGAGGTGAACAAACACACACTGGCATTCCTTTGCTGTTTACCCACACTTTACTTGTTAAAAACGTACTATTGCCAAATCTTAATTCATACCCTGACTCTATTCTGACCTCAATTCTAATTCTAACTCCAAAATACCGTCTTATTTTACTTTGGGAAGAAGCACTTATGCAATAAATAATTGTACTAATTGGAGTTCACTCACAGAAGGTAATTTTGCATCTCCATACAGTATCTGCCTCTACTTGAATGCACAAAATACTTACAGTACGGTAGATAACTACTCAAATTGTATTATTCTAGTTGGCATGCTTAGATCTACTTTACTTCTAACACAGTACTGATGTTTTTACAGATTTAATCCAGATCTAAGGACTTTTTCACTAATACATTGGTGGTGAACAAGCAACGTTGACGATTCCATTGTCTCTTCTTCACCTTCGCAGTATGGCATTGTGATTGACTCAGGATCCTCTCGTTCCAACGTGTACCTGTACGAGTGGCCTGGTGAGAAGCAGAACGAGACAGGAGTAGTGACGGAGACCCTGAACTGCAAAGTGATGGGTGTGTTGTAGCTTTTGTGTCTCAAAGCACACACTATTAAGTAAATATATTCACATCACACTATAGGTAAAGTTTGATAGTGTTATAATGTTGATATGATGTGCTAGTATGTCAGATTTTACTGAAATAAAATCATTATTTCACTGTGTAAATACAGTGTTAACAGTCTTAACACTGATGCTAAATGTGCAGCAGCAGTTATTAATAAAAGCTTATTGGGGAAAGGAGCTTGTGCCTAAATTATAGCTTTGTTTTTTTTACCAAGGGTTGAAACCACAAGGTTTGTGGGTCAAAAGTGGCCAGATTTCAGTGCACTATTACCTGACCCAGTGCTGTTAGTTTTTAGCCATTCAATGAGATGGCAGGGGGCAACAGTGGCCCCTGGCTCATTTGAGTTTGAAACCACTGTTTTACACAAAAGAAAATGATGTGATTTCTTTGTTTTTTACACACCAAAATTGCCTCCTGTGCTGCTTTGTTTTTTTCATCTAAACAGGATCAGAATTAACTGATTAACAGCTCAGACTTTTTTCATGGTATATCACTTTGTCCTCCTGCCCACAGGGGAAGGAATATCAGCGATGAAAGTTGACCCTGACACTAAGAAAGATGTTAAGTCATTGGAGGCATTTCAAGTCTGCATGGACAAAGTTCTTAAAATCATTCCATCTGCGAAACACAACACAACAACTCTATTTCTAGGAGCAACAGCTGGAATGAGGCTACTACAGTAAGAAATATTGCCCATAGAAACGTGCAGTGAACACATTTTTAATCTAATGTAATATGAACTCCATCTACTGATCAATGGCCACAGCATGGGTTTAGTAACATATTATTTTCTGTGAAGTCAGATGATAAACCATATATTTAAATATTTTTTCAAGGTTAAAATGAAAAAAATAATTTAACATTTACTGCAACTGATGCAGTGATCAAGTGGAAATGAACAGCTAGATGTTTACATCAACATAATATTTGGATTCTTTTTTTAATGTAAAGTGAACAGAATGAAGCGAGGTCCAATGAAATCATGGAAAGTATAAGAACATACCTGAGTTCTCTGCCCTTTAACTTCCAAAATGCCTCCATCATAACTGGTCAAGAAGAAGGACTGTACGGGTGGGTCACTGCCAACTACCTCAAGGGAAACTTATTAGAGGTAATACACTGGGCCTATTGTACATTTAACTTCACAGTCAGGTTTCAAACCACTAACCTTTGCTAGTCTACTCTCAGAAAAACCTGTGGAACACGTATGTACACCCAGATGGGAGAAAGACAACAGGATCCATGGACCTTGGAGGAGCATCAACGCAGATCGCCTTTGCCGTCCCAGAAGACCTCAGGGGTCCGGACTACATGAACGTGAAAATGTATGGATACTCCTACAATGTCTACACCCACAGTTTTCTCTGCTATGGTAAAAATGAGTTGGGGAAGAAGGTTCTGGAGAAAATAGTTGAGGTAACTATCTTTTCTTATGCAGTATGTTCTCTTGTACGTGTGTCCACATGTGTCCATTACTGCCTGCTAAAGAATTGATTTGTAAAACTGCTGTCTGCTGCTGTGTCCATGCAATTTAAAGATGGCAAGAAGACATTATGTCATCAAGAGTATTGATCGGACCGTAAATGTCTTCAGGCTCGTCTTTGAAAAATGCATCAATTCTGTTTGCTCACAGAATACACTCATTGTTTGTGCTGGGATTATTGTACTCAAATGTCTGTCTTGCAGTTTTACGTTTTGAGTAATATCCTCTTTATTTAAACCCTGTCTCAGGATTCAAACAACTTTACATACATTGAGAATCCCTGTTACCCAGAAGGATTCAACATCACTATCGAAGTCTCGGAGATTTTTGACAGCAAATGCACCAATCCCAAACGCCTCTATAGCCCAGATCAAACGTTCTTCATGGTGGGCGGCTCTAATTCAGACAAGTGCAAGGAGATCGTGAAGTCTGTGTTTGATTTCAACACCTGTTCCCACAAACAGTGTTCTTTTAATGGAGTAGAGCAGCCACCAGTCACCGGAGAGTTTATGGTAACAGTAGCAGAACTACGATATACAGCTAAATCCAAGTGTTGCTGTTAAAAGACCTTAACTCTGTTTTTGCTTTTCAGGCATATGCTGGATTCTTTTATACAGCCAGAGCTCTGTTGTTGAACGGAACATCATACCTAGAGCAGTTCAACGCCACAATAGGGAATTTCTGTCATACACACTGGACAGTGGTAAGTCTTCAAGTCAATAAATTACTTTCAAATGTTTTATGAATATTTCAAAAATCAC